TTTGGCGCTATGGCAATTTGGTTGTAGCCTGAATATCCATCAAGGAAATAGTAGAACTCATGGGCTGCTAACCTCTCCAACATTTGATCGATGAATGGCAATGGAAAATAATCCTTACGAGTCACGGAATTCAATTTGCGGTAGTCAATACATACTCTCCATCCCGTGACCGTTCGTGTTGGAATCAGCTTGTTGTTGTCATTCCGGACCACTGTCATTCCTCCCTTCTTTGGCACCACTTGGACTGGACTTACCCACGCACTATCCAAAATTGGATATATTATTCCTGTGTCTAAAAGCTTCAAGACCTCCTTCTTAACCACTTCTTGCATTGATGGATTCAATCTTCTCTATGGTTGGACAGAATCCTCTGGTGGTTCAGTCTAGTGAATCGCCTACAGCAAGCACCCATGTGTTGCACCAGGTTGTCACCAAACAACCTTGACAAGTGAGATCAGTCACTGCCTTTCGATAGGGTCGTTCAACACTATGATAGCCTTACCGTATTATCTGTGCCCTTACTTCAGAATAATACTAGAGCTATAGACGTTTCTAGAATGGCCACCATATGTGTTCATAGGGTTCTCACTATCAAGATTTGAAACACTTGATACCATCGTCACGGTTCTACCATTCTAAGGACATATATCGATACATATTGCAATAATAATGATTTACGCGATATAGAATAAAATGCCTTTTATTGATTAATGAACATTAATACAAAGAGTTAATTCTACAATAATTGATTGGCTCTGGGGCATCTACTCTAACAGCTACCTCTTGTAAACTTTGCTAATAACCAAGAATTTAATCATATAAAGGAAAACAGTGGATGTAGGAATCGCTTTAAGCATCCAAACCACTATAAAACTCTCACCATCTCATTTACTTTTTAAGTTTTCGCATGCAATTGTGATAATAGTATTCCATAATCAACTCTCAACACGTGTAATTTCTAGGATCTCTCTTAGCACTTTGCACGTGCGAAGTCTTTAGTGTCAAAATCCAGCATCAATAGTTTGGCGCTAGCAGAGGGGCCAAATTCACATTAGCTCTCTATCTGGTATTCTCAACTTATCACAACTTTACCTTCCAACATCAACCACAAAAATCATGGCTTGTGGCTTTGAAACCGAGCACGTTGGCACCAATAACGAGGAGATTCCCCACAGTCAGGAAACTACTCCTCTTGAAGTAGTTCCACCTCCCTAGAATACTACAGGGGACATCCTTTCAACTTCCCAGGTAGATCCTGCTTTGATTGGCTACCTGGAGAAGTTTAACAACACCCTTCAAATGATGAACCAGAGGTTGGATCGTTTGGATCAGGTCGTACCACCAAATTTTGACAAGGTGGTACCACCTTCGAAAATTCATATAGGTCACTCTAAAGCGTGGAAACAAGCAAAAGCTCATACCATGTGCACTACAGTGCAAAAGAATAAGGGTATGGGTAGAATGGCTCAAAGGGGCAAGCGAATACTTGTCACAAGCAAGGGAAAAAACTTGTGCCTTAACGGCTTGGCAGTATGTCACACCAAGAGAAGATCCATGACACATCATAGGGGCACACCAATAAGAGTGCCCGATATGGAGATTCCTACTATCACTGGTATGATGGTTCCGACTATCACCGTGAAGGAAGTACCTACTGTCAGCGGGTCGGTTCAGACAACTGTAGAGGTAGGAAAAACTCCCTCAGCCACTTAGCGCCTTCACAAGGCTCAAGACCGCAAATGTCAAGGCATGTCGAAGGCTCCGGCCAAGGTAGAGAAAATATCGGCCTACGATCTTTCATCAATCAAAATCGTATAGAGTGTACCTACGTTGCGAAAAGTGATCCCAAAAAGGCTCTACTTCCTCAAATAAAAGAGTTATGGTAAGCTCTATATTAGCTTCGAGCTTAGCAGAATGAGCAGGGGCAGGTCGCTAAGGCGTCTTCTTTTTCTCCAGCAGTTCTAACTGCTCATCTCCCTTAAAGATTTAAGATGCTCGATATGAGAGCATTTGATGGGAATTTTTATCCTTAGATCACCTTTATGAGTTTAACGACCTCTTGGAGCTTCACCAAGTTTCAAACTTGGCGAAGATTCATTGTTTAGCAGTGACTCTGATTGCCCACGTTAAGAGTTGGTTCAAATTGCTTTCACCAGGGTCTATCAACTCGTGGCAGCAAATGAACTCATTGTTCTTAAGATACTTCCAGGCCTTGATGCCGCTTAGCTATCTCAATGACATACGGCAAGAGAACAATGAGTCTCTGTAGTCCTACATTGACAGGTTCCACAGGGAACTGAATAAAGTGGCTAATAAACCTAAGGATTTAGTTCGAACTCTGATTATTGTTGGAGTTCACCCGTAAACCGACCTGGCGAAGAAACTACAATCGGAGGATGATATTTCCCTCACTTGCTTCTACAGCTTGACAGAGAAAAATCTACAGATAAAAAACTTTGTGGCAATTTTAAATTGCTATAACCCCGGGCCTTCTACTAGTGTTCCTAATTGAAGGTATGAGTTCCGGGGAGAGAGTAATAGAAAAACTGATCGTAAATGGTCTAATGACAATCAGAGAAAAGGAAAGAGACAACAGTTTGAGACCAAGCAATCTTATGCTCCAGTTCCTCATTGCGACTGCGATAGCTTCACTCTACTAAATGCATCGGTTCCAACTACTCTGGGTAAATCAGTAGAAGCTAATTTGCTTAGAGAACCAGAACCCATAAAAATCCTGTGTCTTAAACAACTCCCACGAGGGAGAAGGATCAAGAAGATGATGGGGAAAGGCGCAGAGGTCGCAAAGTTCTCTACCTCATAGGGACCATCTTTGGGGGACCACATATGTTAGTATATGCCCTAGGAACCAATCGTGTTGTCGGTTTCTGGACATTATATCTTGTAAATGTATTATGAATAAAAGAAAGTGTTCTCGGATGACACAGATCTTCAGAAGATCAAATCATCGAAGAATTCCATACGCAAGTAATGTTAATTGGGCAATAACATTGCATAGTAGGCATGTTGAATGTCTCCATTGAATATCATGTGATGGTATTAGTGTGGGTGATAATAAGAGGTATGTCATTAAGATATTAGCATGGATAACGGTTAGTGAACTGTTTTCGAAAATAATTGATTACGATGAATCACATAGACGTGGTCAATGATGCATCATAGGATCGTGCTAGTGTACCACTAATCCTTAGACTTGAGACATCACGGTTGGAATCAACATAGGATGTATATGGTTCATATGGTGTATAAGCACGAGACTAGTCATGTCATGTGTAATAAGCCAATTTGGTCATATGTAATTTATGTGCAAGGACAAGTGATGTCAAGATGGGATTCGTTAACTCAAAATAGTCCAATCTCGAGTTCCCAGACGAATGTCAATAAACATTGGAAAAAAGAATCTCTGGCCAGAGTATAATGAATGTCAGATGAAACATAGTTTCATGTTAACGAGTTCCATTATATCGATTGACAATTCGATTAAAGATTAAGTTAAGAGATTTGACATACCATGAACCATTCTTAATCGGGATTAGATAACGAAGGGATTTTACTACACGGCGTGTACGATCAGAATAGGTTTATTAGAGTTTACACTTCATTGTGGTTTAGGGGTTATGGAACATTGCTAGACGTCTACCATAATCAGTGGGAGTTTCGATTATGAATAGCTATAATGAAACATATCAGAATCTGATATTGGGCCCACAGCTAGATCATAGTGAACCAAAATGGTCACACATAAATCCAAGCTCAAGAAGGAGATAATACATATCATTGATCGGATTAATGATGTTTGGACGTAAACAGTTGAATCTGAAATAGTGTATTGGTGAGAAATGATTATCCATGGATAGCTAGCACTAACCAAGGGTAATAAGGATTTATTAAATATTATTATTGAATTGGATTCGATGATGGGGACAAAAGTGCATTGGTTTTATTCTAAAGAGTTAGAATAATTAATAGGATTAAAATTAGGCTAATTATGAAATAACCATAAAACCAAGGACTTGACATAAATGCTCTTTTTCAAGATTAATTTTAAATTGTTTGAGGACTTCCCAAGACAATTTAAAATTACACTTTGTGCCCAAGGTATATAAACAAAGTGTTATACCATTTTCATTCAATTGAAACAAAAATCACTCTCTCAGCTCTCTCTTCCTTGACTTGTGTGGATCACATTTTGAGGTTCTTCAAGTTCACTTGAAGAACTAAGATTCCAAGAAAGAAGATTCAAGTGTTGAATAGCAAAGGAGTTAGTAATTTTTTGTCATTTTCTTACATTAATAAGTTAATGTTTTAATGGTTTGTTTTCTACCTTATGTTCATCATCTCAATCATCATTTTCTCTCCATTTCCATGTCCAAAACGCATGAAACACAACAACACATATAGGAGGGACCTCTCGGAATGCACAAGAAAAGTATGCCCGAGAAGCCCGGCATGAGTCCTTCAATGTGCTTAATCTGGAATCGTGACCTAGCAAGTTGCATAGAGAATAACAGATTACCTTCTCTAAGAAAGATGGGAAACGAGTGCACCACCCTTATGAGGATGCACTGGTTGTCGTAGCTAAAATAAGAAGGTGTGAAGTCCACAGGATGCTAGTGGACAATGGGAGTGTCGTGAATATCCTATTTTAGTGAGCCTTTGAGGAGATGAAGCTGGAAGAGACAGACTTAAAGCCTATTTCCACTTCTCTTTATGGTTTTACCAGGGACCACCTAACTCCTCGTGGAATGATTTCTCTTCCAGTCACTTTGGGAGATCCCCATGAAGTGACCAAGATGACAAAATTTCTAGTTGTGGATTGTCCTTCAGCATTCAATGGCATCCTCGGACGACCTCTATTATGAAACTTCAAGGTTGTCACCTCTATCTACCATCAAAAGATGAAGTTTCCCACTCTAGCAAGATGTGGGGAAGTTAGGGGATCACATCGTTAATCTCGTGACTGCTATAATAAGGTAGTCTAGATGGCATGTAAAGGGAAAGGCAAACTCAAGGGCGTTCCTAAACAAGTAATGGCAATCAGTAGGATCGAGCCACATGTTGGTCTAATGGAAGACAATATTGATCCTCGTGTACAAGAGGAGTATACCCACAGTGGGCCAGTTGAGACTTTGTCTGACGTACCTATAGATGAGCATGAGCCAACTCATGTGCTGAGAATCGAAAGTAACCTCAACTCTCAGCTTGTAACCAATTTAGCAAGCTTTCTCAGATCAAATATTGATGTTTTTGCATGGAAACATGCAGACGTGGTCGGGATCAGCCCCGAGGTCATATGTCATGCATTTAACATTGACAGTGAGTCCAAGCTAGTTTGCTAGAAAATAAGAGATATGGATCTAGAGTGCTATGCGGATCTTAAAAGTGAAGTGGACAAGCTCCTCTCAATTGGGTTCATTCGGGAAACTCATTACCCCAATTGGGTCGTCAATCCTGTTTTGGTGAAAAAACCCAATGGTAAATGGCAAACATGCATTGATTTCACGGATTTCAACAAAGTCTGCCCAAATGATAGTTTCCCTCTGTCTAGAATTGATCAGCTCGTTAATGCTACTTCCGGGCACGAGCTGCTGAGCTTTATGGATGCCTATTCGGGGTATAATCAGATCCCGATGCTCACGTCTGACAAGAAGCATACCTCATTCATCACAGATCGAGGGTTGTATTGCTACAAAGTCATGCCCATCAGTTTGAAAAACATTAGGGCAACTTACCAGTGCTTGGTTAACCAGATGTTCTCTGAGCAGATCGAGAAAACAATGGAGGTTTATGTTGATGACATGTTGGTCAAGTCGCATGCTGCTTCAGATCACATAGCCCACCTCGTAGAAATGTTCAATATACTCAAAAAAATACAAAATGAAACTTAATCATCTTAAGTGTTCATTTGGAGTAGCCTCAAGTAAATTCCTAGGGTACATGGTTAACCATCGAGGAATTGAAGTCAACCATGAAAAGATCCAAGCTCTCCTAGATATGAAAAGTCCCACAAATCGTAAACAAGTTCAAAGCTTGAATAGGAGAATAGCAGCTTTCAGTCACTTCATATCAAGAGCAACAGATCGTTGTTTGCTGTTCTTCAATATACTCAAGGCTAACAAGAAATTTGAATGGACTCTAGAGTGTGAGCAAGCTTTTCAGAGCATAAAAGAGCATCTTGAAAAGCCACATCTTCTGTCCAAGCCACTTCCTAAGGAAATTTTGTTTCTTTACTTGTCCGTTTCTCAGTATGTGGTCAGCGTAGCTCTTATTCGGGAAGAAGGCAGAATTCAGTGGCTTGTATATTATACTAGCAAATGGTTACTGGACGCCAAGTCAAGGTATCCAAAGATGAAACGATTAGCCTTTGCCTTGCTGATCGCCTCCAAGAAGCTGCAACCTTATTTCCATGCCTATACTATAATGTTTTAACCAATTATCTGCCCAGACAGGTCCTTCAGAAACCAGGCGCCTTGGGTAAATTGCTTAAATGGGCCATGGAATTAAGTTAGTTCAATCTACATTACAGACCAAAAGCAGCAATCAAAGGGAAAGTTGTGGCTAACTTAGAGTTCTCGTATCAACCAAATCAGGAACCTAACCAGCTAGCCACTAAAGTCGTCTAAGAAACTGTTCAAAATATGTAACATGGAGCCTCTACGTTGATGGATCTTCTAACAGAAAAAGAGCTGGAGCCAATCTTCTACTCATCAGCCTTGAGGGTACTTACATCCATGGAGCCCTTAGGTTTGGATTCAAAGCCACCAATAATGAGGTCAAGTATGAAACGTTATTTGTTGGTCTATGACTAGCAAGAGAGATGGCGTCAGAAATTATCGACATCAATAGCGACTCCCAGTTGATAGTCAACCAGATATTAAGAGAATATCAAGCCAAGGAAAAAAATATAATCAGTTACTTGAAGAAAGCCAAGGCTACACTCGAGCCCTTCAAGCACTATACGATTAGGCAAATCCTAAAAGATAATAACTCTATCACGGATACTTTAGCAAAGAAAGCTTCATCACTGGACGCTAATGTGCTAGATAGCATCCCGGTCAAGTACATCGAAGTTTCCAACATCAACTCACTCGACCAGACAGTGGTTACAACTAAATTTGTGTCTTGGATGACTCTAATCATTCAGTATCTCAAAGAAGGGGTTCTTCTTAATAGCAAGACTGAGGCAAAACTCCTACAAAGTAGAGCTGCTCGTTACACCCTAATCGGAGATCAATTGTATAAACAAGGATTTAGCACCCCTCTTCTCCAATGTGTGACAAATGAAGATGCAGAGTGCATCATGAGAGAGATACATAAAGGGATCTGTGGTAATCACACTGCTACACGATCTCTCGCCAATAAAATTATCCGCTAGGGATATTATTAGCCCTTGCTTCGTGACGATACCTACAACTTTGTGAAGAAGTGTAACAAATGCTAGAGATTTGTGATCACCCCACGAGCTCCTTCCCACAAATTGACAACGATGACTAGTCCTTGGCCATTATGTGGGGAATTGATCTCATCGGTCTCATGCTAACCAGTAAGGGTGATGTCAAATATGTTGTGGTCGTAATGGATTATTTCACTAAATGGGCCGAGGCATACCGTTAGTCGCGATCACCACAAAGAACCTCAAAGACTTCATCTTCAAGAATATAGGTGGAATTCCTCATACACTTATCTCAAATAACGGGAAACAGTTTGACAATAGGGAGTTCAAACAGTTTTGCAAAGAACTGGGGATTCATAAGAAATTTGCCTCGATAGCAAGGCCACAAGCTAATGGACAAGTTGAAGCTAACAACAAAACCATTAAGCACTCTTTGAAGGCCAAGCTTGGCGCAGCAAAGAGAAATTGGGCCAACGATCTCCCAGAGGTTCTATAGACATTTAGAACAACTCCGAGAACTTCTACTTCAGAAACACCATTCCCGCTAGCATATGGTTGTGAGACAATGGTCCCAGTTGAAGTAGGGACTAGTTCCCTTCGGAGAGAATTTTAAAATGAGACAGACAATGAACCATTTATGCGTGCAAGTCTGGACTTGGTCGAAAAACATCGCAACAAAGCTCGGTTAAAGATAGCTTCCTACCAGCAATGAGCTAAGAGGTTCTTCGACTCCAAAGTCAAGAGAAGAGACTTCTAGGTTGGTGACTTGGTCCTCAAAGAAGTCATTCTCAGTATAAGAGAACCAAGCACAGAGGTATTGGGGCCTAACTGGGAAGGTCCCTATTGAGTCGCTAAGGTGATACAACCTAGGACGTATCATCTCAAAAGACTTAATGGTTCTGAAGTACTGTGAGCTTGGAATGTTGAACATTTGCGAGCTTATTATTAGTGAATTCCAAGCTCTTGTATAGTTTTTACAATCTCTTTTACTTGTAAATTTCATCAATAAGATTATTCTAATTCTTCCCCAAGAATTACTTGTGTCGTAATCTCAAGTTTTTATAATCTTGTTTTTACAATGCTTTACAAGTTGTGCAATCAGAAAAATTATATTCATTTAATGAAGTGCTTAAATTCTAAAAGTGCTATCACAAATGGCAAAAAGTCCTGTATATATTAAAAAAGTATGTACATGGACAACCAGAGAGCTACATCAAAAGAAAAAAGGAAAAAGAGATCATTTGAGAATGAGCAGAAGGGAGGACGATCACTTCTCTTGAACTTCAGGATCCTTGACTTCAATTGCTCCGACCTTAGGTTCGATAGCTTGGTCTTGGGAATTCTCTGTTTCTTGGTGATCCCCTCTTGGACAGTCTCTAGGTCTTCTTGTTCTTTAGCAGATTGCATCGATGCGAGGGCTACCTAATATTCCTTAGAAAGGTTGGAAAGGTCCATGTTTGGGTTTTTCTCTCGCAAGATATGAATAACTTGCAGCAACCACTACCCAGCCTTCTTTTCCACCTTGACATTAAGCTGTCGTATCTACTCGGTCAGTGAAATGACCTACCGACGAGACACCTTGAGTTTATTGTCTTTTTCTCTGATCTTCTTCTCTATGTCCATCCACAGTATAGCTCGAGATTCCTCCATCTCTTTCTTGTGGCTCTCTCTCTCTCTCTTTCTCTCTCTCTCTCTCTCTTGCTGTCGTGAGCTCAAATCTTTAGTGAGCCTCGCCACTATCATTTGAATCTATTTAGCCTAGTTGTCCTTTTTTTGAAGCTCTTGCTTTTAAAACTCTATTGCTTGCAGAGCAGAATCTTTTTTCTACTAGAATCATGTCCGCCTAAAGTTGTGCTTCCCTTGCAACTTCGTTGGAATCCGTAAGGGCTTGCCTCAATTTGACGATCTCCTCCTTCATTTCGCGGAGTTTTGCTCTAGAGCTGATCTCCATCTTGTTATGTGCAATATTCAGGGCAAGCACGAGCTGCAAAGAAAATGAATAAGAGTTAGTTTTTTTTTTTTTTTTTTTTTTAATAAAAACTAAGGAACTCGATCAGAATTCAAAGTGATTGTTCAGAGAGATTTGCTTTACCTAGTTCTTTAGTTGGAGTGTAGTGACCAGCAGGTCGGAAGGCTTGGATGCCATGTACCTATCAAAGGTTGACTCCAGTTGGCACTCAAGCATGGTGAAAATCACCAGTCTCAAGTGATCGGGAAACGTCCCGATGAGGTCTAAGATAGACTCGCCCTGACCTCTCATGTCAGGAATTTCCTTGGTTTGTTCTTGGCTGACTTCTCATTCTTTCCCTCAAGTGGCCTCGCCTTCCTTCCCTTGAGTTACCTCTTACATATCCTTCGGAGGGGTCTTCGAAGTAGGAGTGAGTTGGGTAGGCCATAATCTAGCGGGCAGCACGCCAAAGTCTAATTTAGACTTAGACCCTTCTGCTGTTATCACCTTCCTCTTCTTCGTGCCCATGGTCTTCTTCTTCATTAGATATGCTGCAACAAGTTGGGGAGCTTCTTGATGTCGCTCCACAGCTGGGCACCTTTTGGCACTAGTTTGGGTCCCCACTACAGGGACATTAGCTAGAGCTACTCCAGCTTGGGAGTCTTGGAACAATCTTAGGAATGTGATCCCCGTAGATCGTTTTGTTCTCTTCCGTTGCATGGCATTCAAAAAGGGTCAACGAACAGATTCTAACATATAAAAGACTTGGGTTTTTCAATAAAAGAAAAACTTACAAGCTGAACCGTCCAAATATGTGTCAAGAGGGAGAATTCGTATTTCTGGAGATTCTTTGTCATCACGAGTAGCTTCGCATCACGACCTCTATCTGGAAGTTGACCAAAAGCTTGAATGTGGCTGCAATCTGTCAATAGCTGCAATTTGTCGTTCTGTTTTCTACATAAGAGAAGAGTTCGT